TATTCATAGCATTTTTGGAGAAATCCCAGTGCAAATTATGGCTTTATATATTTCCGTCTTATTCAGCCCTGGTTCAAAGATAAGGCCAACGATCATATTTGCTCGACCGGTCCGAATGGTTGGTTACCTTTCCTGAGGCTCACCTGGCACTAAAACGTCGTAGTAAGGTCAGTGTGATAGGAGACGGTGTATTTCCCAACTACACTTAGCCCGCATTTTATAATGGACCAGCTGCGAGACCAGACTAACCATCCGGAAGGAACTTCGTCTATAAAGCTTAAAACTCCATTCGTCGAAAGGAACCAAATGTTAAAACCAGAGCCTAAAAGATAATATCCCTAAACTCGGGTTACCTGCCACAGGTTGGATGCAAAAGCAAAAACAACTTAAGTGAATGCGGTGTTCACACCTCATTAACTTATTTTGGAGTACCTAATTTCTATCAGAATGTAGCTTGCATAGGCCTGAACAGCGGTACGACCCCAATATGTTTACCAAATTTGGCCCACTGCAATATCATTGCTGGACCTAACCTGGAATTGCGGGCATTTCTCGATTAAACTTAGGGTGTTATTCAACGTCCCAATAACACGTTTACCTTCACAGCGGAACAGTTGCTTAAGTTGCGTTTAAACGTTTGTCACAAGCTCCAACCCAAAAAGTCTGAATGATAGAGCCAAGAAACAGTTCCTACCAACGTGTTCAGGTTGTCTGGAGCTAGTACATATGTAAAATTGATAGCTCTGGGTCAGTAGGAAATGACCTGACCTTGGAAAACAAGGATGCGTTTCTCGCATTGAGTGCCTGACCGAGGATGCATTTTCTGCACTGAACGGAGTATGCCCCACTGTTTCTACTTTTCGTTTGTTGTTTTGATCAGACGCGTATGGTAAAGGGGAAGTTCAGCTTAACCTCCTCCCTCCTCGTTGTCAAAAACCTGCTTTATTACCTCTCTGTGGTAAAACAGAATCGGCATCGGCATCAAAACTACCCCGCAAAGCAAGGTCTCCAACAAAAAGGCAATTTTGGTTGGCTTTGATTAGACTTTTATACTCGACCTGACATCAATATAATTACCTCTAATTGTAAATCGGTTGTCTTGTTGTCAAATAAATCGCCAAAAAAATAAATGGCTTCGTCCACCATTCCACTGTCGCGCCAGATTTAAAGGTTCCTCATGCATTTCTTTTGCTGACCGTCATGGCCCAACTTTTACCTTGCACAGGTAAGCAACTATACAAGATACATCTGAATTCGTAGCGCGAGAATATCGGCTATGTTATTGGCTACAGCATATAAAGTTTGGTAAAGCTACGCCGCGCCATTCGGAGGGTATTTTGGTAAAAATATTTGACCCACCCGAGCCCGTGTTTAAATGTGAGCTCAAAGTTAAATAAGTTTTCACACGTGCCCGGGTGGCTGGCTGAACACCCTTCGCTCGGGTGGCGGGGAGGGGGGGGCATTTGATCCCAAGATCTAAAAGAACTGGAAAGCTGGGTACCGACAGATGCACCGAGTTCGCATAGTGGCATGGGATGCACGTGAACTCATTTGTATCAAACTGTGAGGCTGCTAAGGTCATAGCATAGGTCCAAAAAATGTCAGACAATGTTGAACTCCAGATTCGTGTTCAAGCAATCCGCAAAAAGTTATCATGCAGCCCTGCAACTACAGGCTTAATATAAAAGGTATAACTGGCCGTCATCTAAGGCCAGTAATATTTGCTGACATTTAAAATGTCAAGGCGACCAAAAACCTACAAGACCCTCTCTATTTTTGTATCTAAGTAAAAGTGATGGACTACGCTAAGCGGTGTGTTCCTGAAACCAACTGTCGACTTGGGTCATTTTAGCTCAGTGACCTACATTGACCTTTAAAGAGTGCTCCACATTTGTATGGGGGTTTTGAACCGAAATAGTCATCACGAAGATCAGTCGGTTCAGTTCACAGCCCTGCCCCTCTTAAGACTCAAGCCCCCTAGTTTCTGAGCTACACGCCCGCGAAGATGCTATTTCGTGCAGGCCACATAAGCACACCCAGGCATCCATAATGTCACGAAAACGCCGTTAAGATTTTGTCATTTCATTAGCCATGTGGCGATCAAAGACAAGGAAAATATGCTTGTTCAGTCGTTCATATGTGGCGTTCGTGTGCACGATTTTCAAGCATAACGGCCGTCAACTGGCTCCCAATGTTGAGCAAGGTACGATGACACAATCAAACAATGGCGTAGTGGGGAACATATTTGCTAAATAGAGAAATTGCGTTGCTGCGAACATGGTTCTACAGTTAAAAATATGTCGTAATTATAAGCAAGCTTGTTTCGTAATATTTGATACTTGCTTCAATATCTTCAAATGTCGAACATACCTCTTTGATAAGTACACGGAACATATCTGTTGCCGGTTCTGTTATTAATAACGAAGTGGGCATCTGAAACTACAAGATAAAGCCAGCTCTCGAGTGAAAAAGCAGGTTGGTCTAATTGCAACTTAATTATTTGTTGCTTAAGAAACTAACTCAGAGATGTACGGCTTTGTCTAACTTTCCGCTGTCGAATCAGATTGAACGAATCCCTAGAAATGGCCTTCGCTGTCAGCCCCACCCCTGATTTTGGCCTGCCATAGACAGCAACCTCACAAGGTACATCTGACTTCCTTATAAAGACAATGCGTAATTCGATTGCCTACAGCATTGCAAAGTTTGTCGCTTCTACGCCGCTGTGTTCGGAGGTCATTCACGAGAAATATCCGGGGGAGTCAAACTGACGCGCACCCTAGGGAGTGTTAACACTCGTCCGACAAAGGGGAATGGCAGACTCCCTCCAAGCTGTTTTCTTGAATATCCCGGTGACCATTAAACGATTGTGCCGATTTCTGGTGCACTGAATTGATGACGTTTTCACACGTTGTATTAAATATACAGCACTTTGTTCGAACAGGTGGTGAAACGTGATCTGTGATCCATCTTTGAAGGTCATGCCGGCAGGTTCCTAGCTAAATCTACAATGCTGTTCAGTTGTGGAGATTTAAGGTGTGACGCTTCTGGTTTTAGAAATGCAGTGGATTTCACCATCATATGGGGATTTGTGGCGAATACACTTGTACATTTCCGAATCCGGAGGAAAGCACAGAAAACGATGGCCTTTACCGAACCACGTTTTGTTATAGCTTGGAAGTCCATTAGCGCGACCTAGATGGCTACCTGCTGAAATGGAACATCAATTCAATATAATTAGAAAGCTTTCGTAATGAGCAATACGTTGGCTTCATCTTCGGTCATCTATCTGTCTGTCCAAAAGTCAATTACGGGATCCCTCGGGACCCTCCCCCCGCCCCCCCCCCCCCCCCGCCTTCGTTGGGCAGGGGTGTATAATGGCTCCGTCGGGCAGGGGTGTAAAATGGCTCCGTTGGGCAGGGGTGTAAAATGGCTCCGTCGGGCGAGGGCTTGAAGTTTCTCAAAAATGTCGCCCAGGATAAAGGGACACATAAAATGCAAACTGTATTGTTCTGCACAGCTGAGAACACCTTACGTATAGCACGGCCGCTACCAGCCTCCGCCGATCATCTTCGTGTTGGGCAAAAAACGTGTCCTTAAAGGGTGTATTCCATCTTTTTGCACTTTTCATTTCTTGCTACGCCAGACCCGTGCAATGTAATCATTAACACCAGTTTTCTCAAAATTCTTCCATGCAGCTCAAAATTTCGAGTTCAAAGCAGCCGACGCTACTGGAGAAATCTCATTTGACTCCCGGCTGAATAATATGAAAGTAATACAATGAACCTGCCTATCCTTTTCAGACGTGTGCGTCCTGTTATGTTTGGAGAATACTAATGTGTCCAATTGCTTGTGTAATAGACTGCTACGAAAACTTGGAACACTGTCTACAGAAAGATGTGTGAACGTGAAGCTATTATTCCGCAAATTCAGCGAAACCGTATACTGTGTATTTGATTGCTCCCATATGATGTGTACCACAATGGCTCTTTTCGAGGAACACTTTGGGTTTGGATGGGAGATTATGATCCAAGTATTGGACTGGTTCAAACTTAAACAAACCAAGTTCTCACTAACATGCGCTTGCCCGCTCAGCCAACGACAATCGTTATTTTATTGCACCAGCAGAGGTGCGCACGGTCGTCGTCATGACAACAGTGGTCGCGACTGCAGAGAAGAAGCGTAGTGAGGTTACAAATCGTTGATAGCGTAATTTAGACATGATAATGATTAAAGTTGGCAACCTTACCATTTCTTGACGGCGCTGCAGCGTCACTATCCAGTGCTATTATTAGACGTTGCTAGTCCTGAGGTTTCCTTAGAGTACGCTTTTGAGATATGTCCAAAAAGGTGGGACATGCCATTTAAAGTGGCTTCATCTCATTCCGCCACGGACGAGAGGATCCGGAGCAAGAAGCTCTAACTAATTAAGCTACCACAATGGGCGGATACTTATCGGACCAAAGTTGTGGGGTTTGGCGAATTACAAACAATGAACTGACATCAATGTGCCTAAAAACGATCCAAAAACGTTCCGTGCGAAGCTAAAGACGAGATGAGAAACGCAAAAGTGCCAGCTAGAATATTCTGTTCGGCTCATTCAAGTTCAAGCTATGCTATCAATAAATAAAGTTGAGTCAGAGCATTTCGTTGGCAGACTTTGAAATGGATTGCACAGTTCGGGTATTATTTCCCATTGTTTTTCGCGTAATAGCATCTGGGCTGGAGCATTTTCGCCCGGGATAGGTTAATCGGCATCTGAGATATCGCAAGTTTCCCGACTTCTTTGCCGATGAGCGTTTGTGTCACAATTTAGTAGCTCATAAGGTGTTCCCATTCCAGGCATGTGACATGTCTTTAGACATTTCATTTTATGGAATGGAAGCCGGGGTCATGTGAGCATGCTGAGGTTTTTAATACTGATCGCATTCGCAACATTCCTGCCAACGGAGCCGTGGGAGCCTTCACCTCATCGGTTCAGAGCTGAAGGCCAGAAAAGCGAATGAAATCCGTTTCAGTTTATTGTCTCTAACACCTCATGCGTCATCGACAGCTGACCATTACGGCGAAGATGCGATTTATCGTTTGCATTAGTTGCGAATGCACATGTAAATAAAATGTATTTAAGGTACCCGTGACTGGTGGGCAGGATTGCCGCGCCCTGCAAAGCCTACACAATACATCATGCTCACAATGCACCAAGCTCCAATGAGTATAAAGCTTACCACCCGTCAAGTATGACTAGCAAAGCAGCATGCCCCTCAGCAAAACGTCAAACAACATTCTCAACCCATCAGCTAGTGATCACTTGGCAAACCAGGCAGATCAATGTGAAAAGGTGACTCGATCTCGAGCTCGTACTTCATGCCTGATGTGTCGCGGAAGATGTGTGTCCGGAAGGTGAACACGCTGCCCAGGTAGTTGGTGGTGATGCCGGCCCGCAGGTCGGTCTTGCCACGGCCGCCTTGGCTGGTCAGCTCTATGCCCACCTCCATGCGCTTGGTCTGCGGCGACTCAAAAGCCACCCGGATGACGCGGCTTCCCTGGACGTCCGTGTAGGCGACGTCGGCGTTGAAGCGCTCCCAGCCGGGCAACGGCGTGTGCACGTCCACAGTGAGCTGCATGTTGTTGAGCGCAGCGGCCTTGACGGTGAGCTCGCCGCCAGCAGAGGCGCCGGACGGCATCGTCACTAAGCCGCGTATCGAGTACGTTTTATGCGCCGGGTCCACCGTCACGCCACCCTGCACACGGAAGCTTTCCGAGTTGGGCGTTTTGATGCGCAGATCGAAGGCGTCTCGCCGCACGGTGCCCGTGACGTGGACCATCCGATTGTTGCGGCGGTAGTGGCCCAGCACGTCCACACTGCCGTCGCTGTTCAGAGTCCCCTTGGCCTCTAGTTCGAGCGACTTCAGCTCGGCGTATGGCGATTCCAGAAGGACTTCGGCGCCGTACTGGTTGGCTTCGCCCTTGAACCACGACAACTGCAGCGAGACCTTTTTCGGCCCGTATGCGATGCTGGTCGAGGCCTTGTTGCTGTGCAGGGACACGTCGGTGCTCAGGACAATTTTCTTGTACGGATTTTTGAAGGGCGTAGTAATGGTGACGCTGCCTACACGACGGCCATGGTCATCGCGCTCCACAGAGTAAGTCAGGCCGAGCTTCTTGCCATTCAGCGTACCCTCCACCTTGCCCTCTCCCGACTGTTTTGGAGTACCTATGTCTCTGATGTCGGAACTGGCAGTCACAGACAGTTGCATCGGTGTCGTGATCTTCGAGCTGATTTGGATGTCGGCACTGGCACTCACCGATTTTAATTTACCTTTCGCCCTCTTGACAGATACAGTCGACGACGAGTCGAAGTGGATGAATTTTTGACCCCGTGAGTACTCAATATTCAAGGCATACTCGTGGCCCGGTGAAAACTGATAGCCTCCAGAAAGGCTGACATCTTCATAGCCAGAGATAGGTGTTTTGAGACTGAAAGAGCTACTTCCAGAGCCAGATGCGCGAGATATTTCACCTAAGATATGAGCGGCCTTGCTTCCCCTTTTGTAATCCACATCGATGATGGTTTTGCCATCCTGTTTCTGAATATCCGCGCTTAGTTCCACTTTTCCCAGGTCAAAAACATTCGTCGCCAAGGTCGCTTCAATAAGCGGCCCCACCCGCCTCCTTTCGCTCGTATAGTCCAGCTGGAAGTGGCGATGATTAATTTGTGGTATCAAGTCCAATTTGTCCATGAAGTGTAGCAGTAGCTTTAGCGTTGTCGCAGCACGTGTTTTCGTGAACTTCACCTCCACTGTGCTTTCGAATGGCCTGTCCATGTGCACTTTGACATGCACACCTTTGCTGAGATCATAAGACACTATCATTTCAATGCCACTGAACGATTTGCGATTATATACCTTGACGTTTGGCATACTTATTTGCACTGCATATTCGCCCGACTGCTGATGATGGGACCCACTCTGGACAAACAAGTAGCTCACCCCGTTTCTCGAGTATTCAGCTTTGAGAATAGCATTCGGTGAGATGAAGTTCCAGGTAACCTCAAGCTTCACCACTGCAGCTTCAGCGAATGGTGTTGTCAAATGGAGACTGGTTGCGCCTGACTTCCCGGCACTTCCCAACTGGACAGAGCCGCTGAGAGAGGCCTTCTGCCTCCCTCGACTGTAGGTGAATTCAAAGCTTCGCCGGCCGTCTACACCTCGCAGTGAAGACCATGTTCCATCAATCTTGACATTCTTAGCAAAATGGCCGTCGTAGGATAGAGACAATACCTGCATTTGGCCTCGGCTCTTTTTATCTATGAGCAGCTTGTACTGTCTGCCGTTGCTGGAAACATCTGCGGTCAGATCAAGACCATTCCTCCTGTCAAACATGACATCCACCTGCGTTGTGCTGGTGTGCCACGGGGAATTAATCGAGCTGCTGGCAATGATTTTCCGGTGAACGAGCATCGTTCCCTGCACTGAGAGCGACCACTCCGCCTGAACGTTCGGAGCTTTGTACGAAATGCTACTCGTCAGGTCGTCGTCCGGATAAGAAAAGCTCCACTTAAGCTCTCGGTCGCCGAATGTTGTGGAGTCGACCTTGATAGTACCTGAGCCCGTCTTGGGCCGGCTTTGGTCCGCTGTGTAGAGCACAGAAAGTCTCCTTCCATCTTTCATCACCAGGTTGGCGGAAACCTCGCGAGTTCGGTCACCCAACTGTGCGGTGTAGTCAATGTCCAGTCCAGTTGCACGACCCCCGCTGGTGGCCTGGACGTTGACAGTTCCTGATGTCGCTCCCAGCGAAGCCTCGACATTCACGTATCTCGGTCCCGCGGACAGATTGCTTCGCAAGCTCATCGGCATTCTGGTAAAATCATATCCTGCTTTTGCACTTAACTGGCCGATTTCTAGAGGAGTTTCAACAGTAACGTCCAATGAGACCTCCTTGCCGGATTGTCTGATGCTACCTGTGCCCGTAATTACGAACTTCCTGTCATTGCGTTCATAAGATGCCAGGTACCTCATTGCTTCAAGGTTTTTAATGTTGAAAGACCGATTGATTTTGACGGACCTAATGGACTCGAGTGGAGAACGTAGCACCAGGGAGCCATCCTCGATTCCATCACCCCATGATCTCGAGCTTTCAATGTGCCATTCCCTTGAGTTGCGCCTCGCGGTAAACTTCATGTTCCGAGACTTCGCCAGATTGTTGTAAGTAAGAGACATCTTCATGTCCTCGAATCCCTCATAAGGCGTTGCGATCTCAATGCTTCCGTCTCCCTTTTTCAGTGAGAACAGATAACTGTATTTCACTGAGATCGCTCGGTTAGAGCGCTGCAGAGACAATTCTGCAGACACTGTGCCATCGGAATCCGTGGTCCGCCCAGCGTTGGCCTTGATTTTCTGGAATCCATTGAAAGGTGTTTTGAGATTGATGGTAAAGCTAGTATCAGTGTATGTGAGGTCTCCCGAAATCTGTGTTTTCTTTTTGCCCTTTACATATATTAGTTTGAATTTATTCTTCTTTCCAAGGGTGTACCTCACTTTCACGTTCACCTTCTCCAGACCTGGTAGGGGGAGTTTGGACACAAGCTTTCCGATACCCCCTTTTCCTTTAATGGCAAAAAATCCAGACAGCTCTATCTTTTGGGTCTTCGACTGCGATGCCAACCTGAACGCCTTTTTCTTCTTCGCCAGATTTACACTGCCAGAAATTCGCACGTTTTCAAATCCCTTTCGGTGCGATTTCAAATAAATATCTATGCCCATCGTCTTCTTTGCAAGCGTCGTCCTCAGCTCAACCGAGGTGTGCTTGCCGTCTAAGTTCAAATCGGCATACATACCGACGCCATCTGAGAACGATTGTCTTCTCAGGTCCACCTCAACCACGTGCATGTCGTGTATCGGTGTGTTCATCCGCAGTTTGATGCTATCCGTACCACTGCGCTCGTATAGCAGATACAGACGGTGGCGATGTTCATTGACATGAGCTTCATATCCAACTTCGCGTTTGTGTCTGGTGTTGGCATAGCGGATGCTCACACCCAGGGATTCAAACCCTTCGAATGGCGTAACCACGTGCAGATATGCAGACTCGGCATCATAGAAACTGCGGGCGGAGAAAACGGTCTTGTTTCCATTTCGGTCATAGCTGATTTCCGCCTTCCTTTCGGCACTCCTAAGGTCGTACATCGCGGAGCATTTTACGTTTTCCCATGAGGGAAAAGGCGTGTTGAGGGTCAGGACTGCCTCGGCCGAATCAATGTGCATCTCTCCGCTGATCTTGAGCTCAAGGCGCCGGTTATTCCTGGCTAGGGTCACGTGAACCACCTTCGCTGTGCTGTCAATATCGTACCTTGCATTAAAGCTCAGGGTTTTTGCGGTTTCCATTGGCGTGCGTACTTCAATGGCAATGCGAGGCTGTGACCGGCTCAATTCACCACTCGCAAGTAATTGTATCTCATCCTGGCCTCGGCGTAAGATGACCTCTACCTCCCTTTTGTTATTGGCACGGGCTACACTATATTCCACATCGAAGGTCTCGAATCCATGAAACGGAGTGATAATTGACATATCCCCGCCATGGTCGCCCAGTCGCATAGTTCCACGTATGGTTTTTCGTATTGAATCTCTCGTGGCAACCAGCTCGACGCTCGCTGAACTCGGGAGCACTTCATACTTGCCAGCCAACGTGATATGCCGATTATCATCAAACAATGTTTCTATATCCAACACAGCAGTTCCAGACCAGCCGGTCACGTTAACCTCGAAGGTTGCTTGAACAGTTGCGTTGTTCTTGGTGAGCTCAAACGTTAACGCCGGACCTGCTGAAGTTAAGCTCAAGTAGCTCACAATCGAAAGTTTTTCATATCCGGGCAGCGGAGTTCCGGCATTGAGTGTCACGTAGCTGGACTCTGTCGACAGCCTGGCCCTACCACGCGTAAAGTACACATCGCTGTCCTTCTCCAGCACCATGTCGAGCAGCTTTTCAGAGCTCTGCACATCATACGCTCCAGTGAGCGTGACTCGCCTGGGCCCTGCAATAAGGCTGTTCCAATAGTTGATCGTTAGGGATGACATGGCCAGGCTGATGTCGGCTGAGGCTTCTATCTTCACTGTGTCGCGACCTCTGGCAAATTGCAGACTTGCAGTGGACTCCAGCAGGTCGTAACTCAGCTGCAGACTCGCGGCCGGGAGGGCATCAAACGACGTCCGAATTTGTACCGTCACAGACGACCTGGGACCGGACAGCTCATATTCACCATTGATGGATATCGTGTTGCGCCTGTCATAGGCACACCTGAGGGAGAACAGCTTTTGACCTCTGGGCTGGCTGAAAACCACGGTCAATATCCGAAAGCCCTCGTACGGAGTGCTGAGTCGCGCCGAGTATTCTATCATATCGTAGTCGCTTTCGTCATTAAGAGTGAGTAGAATCGCGCTATTGCCAAGCGCTGCGCGCAACAAAACCGCCTTTGAAGATATCGTGTACCTAAATGACATCTTCTTTAGTCCACCGAATGGTGTGGTGACCTCGACGTCGCCCCGTTCTCTTCCCATGTCGCTGTGCAGGGACAGCCTCCAGTCCGCATGGGACACCTCTCCGCGCATTACAAAACTCGAGCCCAGTTGGTATCCCAAGCTTAGCGTGTTCGACCCCAAGAACCATGTCGGTGATGTCAGTTTGACATCGAAACTTGCAGCGCTACGGAAGTCCGTATCAACATCGATTTGCAGGCTGTACGCTCTTTGTCCATGGAAAACTTCAAGCAGCGCGCGTTTTCTGATCGACCGTATGTCATGGCTTGTTTTAAGAAGTATCACGTCCGTGAACGGCGCCTCCAGGGTGAGATGGGACTCGGAAGCCGCCGAGAATCTGTAGATTTCGCCGGAGATCTTGATTGTTTTGCCTGGAGCGTACGACACAGTGATCAGAGGGGTCCACGCCTTTGCAGACGAAACCATCAAGAACGAAACGCGACGCGCGCGCTGGCCGAACCACTGCGCAGTCAGAGTCACGTTGTAGCCGCTGCTGTGGCCGGCGGGGGCGGCGTCAACGTATGTCAGCTCCGCGGTTTGTTCATCCCAGGTGACTCTGCACGTCACTGTGCCTTTGGAGCCTGTCCAGTCAGACCGCAGGTGCTGCGTAGAATGCGAGAACCACCCTGTGTTGCTAGCTACCTCTCGGTCCAATTGCCAGCTCCTCAAGTCGCGGAAATGGCCTCGCTCCGTGATCAAGATGTTCCGGCCTCCTTTGTGAAGCTCGATCTCGTTGGTATACTCCACACCAGACGTAGTCACTGTAATAGCACAACTCTCAGATATTCTGGATGATTCCCAGCCTTCGAACGGGGACCTTACCTGCCCGAACGCATTTAGCGAGTAGGTAGGCATTTCGCTCCCATTTGAGTCAACATTCCAGTTTGCCGTTAAGTTGACGGTGACTGCTTGATCATCACGTGCCACTTCCCAGAAATCTTGTATCGTTTTTTCATCAAGATCAAAGTGATAAGCACGCTTCAGGTGATATCTTCGAGCTGGGTTTGGTAGGTGCAATGCTAGAGCATACTCGTGCACCCCGCCCTCGGTAGACGCGCTGGAGCCGGTCAGGGTAGCCTCTTGGTTTCTCCAGAGAGTTGTTATATTGAATTGTGAGTTTCCGATATTTTTTGCACATTCCATCGCAATGCCTAGAGTGGGGCAGACATCACATGCAAACAGGAAGTTGCCTGCGAATGAGCCGAGGTTGCCAAAGACCAATCCTTTTAGTTCCGTGATCAGGAGCTCTTCGCCGGTGCCATCGGTCGCTGTAAATCTTGATGACAAGCTCGTGTCATTTTTCCTCAATTCAAAATGAGAATTCAGCTTGTGCATCTTTTCAAATGGCGTCTTTAGCATGACATGAGAGTCCACTAACACGTTAGACGTTAAATTGTGTCTGGACTGCACAGTCAATTCCAATGTTTTCAGTTCTGGACCATTCCATTGCGCCAAAGCCTTGGCGTCGAGATACGAGTCCTTGATGGTGAAGTCGAGGTTGAGCGCCCCGCTTTGGACTCGGTCCACGGGCAGTTCGAAAAACAGTCCAGTGCGCACCGCGAACACTTTTGGAAGATACGTCTTCTCAAAGTTGGCGCCGAGAGAAAGCCCGTCCTTGTTCTTGGACCCGTCCATTCTGGCATGGAATGTGGTGGCGTTCTGAACGTATTTAAGCTCTAAACGGCTGCGTTCCCATCCCACGAAAGGTGTTGTGAGATCCAGTTCAGTTTCCATGATGTTTGCTGTCTGGATGTCATCCTGAGCCATGGCGAAGTCAGCGACCAGTCTACCGTTCAAGATCACCTCTTTCTCTTCGATATTTCCAGCAACCTGTGCCAAAAAATGTAACCATACATGAGTGATGTTAGCCAGCTTATCAGTGCCCAATGCCGCATACCGAACGGTGAACAAAATGCCGCACACTGGGCGCTGAACACTAAAACCTGCTTTAAAAACTAAAGTCCTTCATTTGAAATAATGCAAAACTTCTGAACGCTATTTGCAACAGACTTAACGATTGAACCCCAATTTCATGTGTTATGTAATACGGCACGACAAAAGGTTCTTAACCAGCCACATCTAATCTCCAAATGATAACAGAAAGTGTGTTTGTCAGGGATGTATACTTGACTCATTAATGGCCAACTTCGTGACAATGCACACGCTCTAGAAAGAAATGTGACGGGTATGAACGGAACCTTAAGAGTTTGTTCGTGACCCACCTTGTATCTGGTTAAATTGGAAATATCTAAGCAGGTGAGATCATTCCACTGATAGCAATGCATTTCACAACCCACCACCAAGCTGACGTCAGTCGATGGAGCGACAGGCAATGGCAGCCGAATCCGATTTTTTTGTGTGCTCCATATAGCAGACTCAAACGGCTTTTTTGTGAACGCTCATACCTTGAAGTTCAAGAGGCTGGGCACTCCTGTCACATCCGGTTTGTTTTGGAACGTCAGCGTTAAGGTCCTGTAGCCTGGCAGAGGTGTCTGAATGTTGAGGTGCAGAGCGAGCTTGTTGTTGCTCTGCACAGCCACTCTGCCCTCCAACAAAATGACCTTGTCGGGGGCGTACTCCAGAGAAGCGCGCACGCCACTTGAACTGGAAAAGAAGAAAGTCCCATAACTTGTGCTGGTACACTACGGCGCATGCATTGGTGCAAACCAAACAACTCGGACAACACGCTGCTTCTTTTCGACGGATCTCAGCGTGAGCGCAGCTGATGGTGTGGCAGCGGTGGGTCGGTGGTCACTCTGGCAATTGTTGGCGGCTTTCACTCCCAGACAAGTTGCGGTACTCACGTCAAACCGGCTAGCAGCTGGACTTGACGGCCAGGGTACCGTAGCTTAGCCGACAGGTCGTAACCCCGCCTTGAGATCTCCATGATTACGTGTTGACTATCATCGACGTCTTTATTCCAGAACAGCTCAAAGTTGGCGTTCATTTCCGGACCACCTGGACGCACCTGAAATGCCGGGGTATATGTGGAAGACTGTCTGTCAAGTGCATGTTTTATCAATGTCAAAGACACACACACGCACACGCACACGCACACACACACGCAAACGCACAGACGCACGCACGCGCACACGCGCACGTGTACGCGCACGTACACACATACGCTCACACACACAACACACACACACACCACACCACACACACACACCCACACACACACCACACACACACACACCACACACACACCCACACACACACACACACACACACCCCACACACACACACACCACACACACCACACACACGCACACACACAGCCACGCACGCACACGCACACGCATGCGCAAACGAACACGCACTGCGCAGCGTACGCGCGCGCGCACGCACGCACGCACGCACGTGAACCGTCCAAAGCTTAAAGTAGTGAAACGCATGATGACCTGGTGAGCTCGTGACACATGAGGGTCGCTGCTAGGCCACATGAGACGAGTGCTAGCGGCGGCCGTCCCCTCCCGACTTACACTGACGACGGTCATGATGCGGCGGCCTAGCTGCAGGTCGGCCTTGACCTTATAGTTGCCGCCCTCGGTGCGGGCCGACAGCGTGCCGGTGTACTCTCGCCGCGGCAGGCGAGCGCGCAGCTCCAGCACGTGCTCGGCCTCGTAGCGGTACTGGCCGCTGATCATGTAGACGTGCGGGCCGCGCTGCAGCTGGCCGCTGACCAGGTAGCGGCCACCACTGCCGGCTGCCAGCCGGCCACTCAGCCGCGTGCTTGGGTAGTTGGGTAGGTCAAGACTGGCGTCCAGCGTGTGCGCGTCCGTCTCGTCCAGACCGAGCGCCGCGGTCAGCCGGACCGTCCTGCTCTCGCTCCCCACCTCTCGGGAGGCCAGAAACTGAAACCCCGCGCCGCGGCGTCAGGTGCTGGTGGCACGGGGACGAGCCCGCGCCGCGTAATGGATGCGCCCGTGCGGTCAGTGTGGTCAGAGAGTCAGCGACAGCTTGCCATGCATGGGAATGAAGCTAGGTTTCTGGCTTCGAAGCCGAATCCGAAGCCAAGACAATGGTATGATATCGAAGTCGAAGCTGCAGCCTCATCTTGTTTTAGTGTGTTTGCAGCATTTCGGACAGGTGGTTCTCCGGCGTCAGCAGGTGCTTATGGACCTGAGAATGACCGTGCGATTTTGAGGTCTCAGCCATGCATGGGTAGCAGCATTGAAGCTCTATGTAGTATATTGGAGTGACAAAACGGGCAGCAACCCATCAAAGATCGTAGGAAACCGAAGCTGAAACCACCACTCAAAAAATGTTCAAAGCCGAAGCCGTAGCCGAGGCCACCTCTTCAACGTGACAAATATCCGGAGCCAAAGCCAACAACAGACCTTTTTTTATTTGCATTAAGTCGAAGCCAAAGCCGAATCCTGCCATAAAGCATGACACTAAGCGATACGGATTTATCAGTGCTTGCGTGATATTTGCACTAGTGACGACCTCGCTTCTGCCACTTCTTATCGCGAGTCAAGCAAATATAAATCTTGCAAATTTAGACTTTCTACTGATAAGCGTCTCACCATCACCAATACTAACTCCACACTACAGAGTCCACACATACAACCAGCAACATCATTGTGCTTCGTGCGTTCTCACATCTAATGAGCATACACGGTCGGTGGCGGCTCAGCAAAGGGAGGGGAGGGCAGAGGGGCAGTTGCCTCCCTTGCCTGCCATCAGGCAGGCAGTTTGATGGGAGGCCCCTTTTTCCCGAAGTAAATGCATTGTAACCATCCGTAAACGATCAAAATTCAGATCGAAAGGCTAGAGAGAATTGAGCAAGCGAGTGGTAAATCGCGTTCGGGAGGCCATTTCTACATCAAGCGGCATTTTTCTGGACAAGTAACCCACCTTGATCAATAAGACACCGCATGCCCTAGATCACAAGGCCCAATGTTGTGTTGAGGCGACCCTTTTGATGGCTTGGGAGGCCACCACTATAAACTAGAAGACCCTGTTATGGGTTAAGAGGCACCCTTTATATTACAGACGCCCCATTTCTAGGGCAGAGGCCCCTTCCATGCATCAGATGGCCGCGGTTCCGGCTCAGGATGCCCCGTTTTGCGATGGCTAGGCCGCTGGGCTAGATTTCGAGGCCCCATTCGTGAAATGAAAGCACCTTGCTCTGGATTAATAGCGACCTTCATGCCTCAGTTGGCCCGCTTTTGGGTCGCGGAGACTACTGAACAACTAATAGGCCCGATTCATTTTTCATTGTTTACATGTGCTTCCATACAAGTTTATTGGATATTTAATGGATAGGATGCATTTTGATAAAAAAAACACATGCCATCTGTACCCTTCCTCCTTGGATATGGCACTGCCCATGAGACCCCTGTGACAAGGCCACATTTTGTCCAGGAGGCCACGTTGAAAATCTTACCCCCCCCCCCCCCTCCACCCCCACTCAAAATCAATGGCGCCGCCACTGTACACGGTAACAGACGGATTGCCTTATAACTTGCTTTCAGGTGGAAACGGTCAAGACAAGTGGTACGAAGTTATGTGATATTACGTTATGAGAAACCAAAGAACAACGTGTAAAACATCTCACGATGGGCGTGACTGGCAGGCTGAACGGATCGCAGAGTGTGGGATCACTTCGCAATCCCCAAGACTGACTGATGTATCTACCGCATGGATAACAACGATCATTACTTTTTAAAAGAATCATTGAAAAACATAACTGGTAGACGTTCGTCAGTGAACCACAGCAGCCGTTGTTCTAGTTTCCGGTGGAACAGCCAGCTTGATTTGAATGGTTTGTTACCCAGAAGGGTTAGATGTCTGCTGATGGTTTTCTTGTCCTAGAGACTTCGGAAATTTGTAGAGATTATATGTCTGAGTACATTTGGAGGTTGCTAATGACTCTGCAGACCCTACCGTCGTGAAGTAGACTTCTTTACACAAAGTTGACGCTGAACCCGACGCGATTCGGTGAAAACTGGGGATTCTCGAAATCTAAGCCGGCTTTGTCCCCATGCTTGGTACTTATATTTTGATGCTTACCGTAAGGTCGGCTGTTCCGTCGTCGCGTCGCACTTGGGCGACCAATGCGTAGCTGGAGGTCATTAGAGTGATGTTGGTGTCGACACCGTAGTCGAAGTTGAAGCCTTCAGACAGGTAGCTGACAGTAAGACTTCCTCCGGCAAATCTGTCCTGATTAAGCCGTGCCATAGTGCTCAGCTGAAGCCTCTGTTTGGTGCTCATCTGGAAATGGGCACCAGCCAACGTGACATTTTGCACTTAGAGTGGCACCATATTATCATCTGTGTTCCGTTTCGGGTTGGGTACTACTGACTGCGAGTCATATCCACCATAAGTGCTTATCATAATAAACCCTTCAGTGGTAAGATGGGTTTTCGAGACACCGGTATGCTACAGCTGTGCATATTGCCTATGTGTGCTTTGTGTACTAGAGCTATTCTTGGATAGGCTAAATTCATCGAGGAAATTCATGCAGTAAGCTGCTCCCGATGGTGAACGCTAAAAGAAACATAAATGCGACTCGATTCAGGTAAAAAGCCACTAGGAAGCAGTGGATTTGAACACATCGAATAATCGATATGAAGTTATAGGTCGTACATGCATTAGAACATCCTGGGTTGTATATCTATGTATTAATCGTGACTAAGATATTACGGATTGATGTTTTAATTCGATTTGATTGTTTTTTTTCTGTGCCAGATTGGGGTAGACTGACTTAGGCTTTGCAAAGAAGACCGATCAATGGGTCGGTCGATTGCATACGCAGCTGGTGAATTTGATTGATCTGGGCGATGCAAATCAGTCCACGAGGAATTCGAGTGGGTGTGGATCGCGGCAGTCATTGACGCAGAGCGGACGAGCAGACAAAGACATGGTACACGTTTGCCAGTTGCCGCGTTCCAGCGGCTTAGCCGCACTGTTCCGGCTGAGAACTCGCTCGTTCCGCTCACGTCTAACTCGGTGGCCAGTTTGAAGTCGACGTCCATGTGCGCCGCCTGAAAGGCAATCTCGCCGAACCGCCTGCCGCGCTGGTCACCGAGGCCGGCGCTGAGCTGATATCGGCGCTGGCCGAGCATCAGCTCCGCCGTGGCGCGGTGCTGGCCTGGCGACCTGGCCAGCTCCGCTCTCAGCTCCGTGTCGAGGAGCGGCAGCGCCGACAACTGTGGGGCCATGAGCTGAGCTGAGCTGACGCCGGTCATTGGCACTCAGGCATTGGCAGGGAACAGAGTCTAAGCTGGTATATGTCCTAGTCGTACAGTTAACAGGAAACAAATACTCCAATGATACCGCAAGCAAGCAGCTTTTAGCTGTCATTCATAGACATCGGTGAACACAAGCACGGCTGTTCAATTTCAAACAAAGATGATGTCTTCATGAACGGAACATGGTAGTGTGTGGCCTACAAAGCGTAAGCTTTTTAAATTCGATACAAAATGCCAGCGTTACCTCACTGATTTCCACGTATCCATGGGATGCTTAGGGAACAATTTCTTGCTGACCAATCAAATAATCAATCGACTGATAACCAACAGCCTGAACAATCGATGACTTGTGTTGTTCACACCACGCGCAATCGGCAAATCGGAGATATGCTACAGCAAGCATCTGCAAGACACCATCCTTAACTGTACGAATGTTACCTTTGTCTCCATGGAAAGTTTGTACAACGTCTGTTCGCCGAGAGCTTCCTTGTCCATCTTCGTGTTGAGGGAGATGGTCCGCGTGGGACCATCTAGAACGCTGTACTCTGTCGCCGTCTGCAGCACGAGGCTCGTGCCGTCGTGGCGGAACATCCCGTTCAGAGTTCCGGTCAGAGCGTGCGAGCTTAAGGATGTGGCAATGCTATACATGCCGTCATCTTCGTCAACAGAACCTGAAAATGCCATTGAGAGCAGGTGATGAACATCGCAAGGGCATGTATATTATAGGATATTATACATGTATGATTATACATGTGACATGTATGTTATAGGATCTGAGCCCACTTATGCGGATTTAACTTGCACTGACGTGTTATATTATATGTAACTTGAATTAACTTGTGTATATACGTATATATATATATATATATATATATATATATATATATATATATATATATATAATGTACACCAACATTGCCTTCGAAACTAAGGCTGCTTAGCCCTCGCATTGCGAGGAAGGACCTAAATTTTCTTCCAAAATAAGTTTTTCGTGCTTTTGAGAAACGCGAGATTTTGAGCAAGTGAGAAGAAAAACGCTTGGTTAGCTGCACTCACATCATTTTTACACATGTGTAGATGTGAAGCTTGTGACCTTGACGGTTCATATTCTGTGTCCTTGTTATCGAGATCATATCTGTGTCCTTGTTATCGAGATCATATCTGTGACAGTTTCTCCCACAAGTAACAAATACAGCCTACTAACTCCAGCACGTTTAGAAAATACCTTCGTTTGACTCTCTCGCAGGAAATGTAATTAAAGGCTTTGATGTTAAAGGAACAGGTGACAGTGTCCTGCACTCGCACGTTTCATCGTGCTGATTGGATAATGCTGACAGACAAGAAATCAGACACCTGTCTAGCTTAGAGTAAATGTTCAGTGGCAGACGCCTGGCCATCACTCACCAGTAAGGACGATCGGATAGTTGTACAGAGTGTTGGCGCGCAGGCGGACGGCGTACTTGGGTTTGTCCTTATTGACAAGCACTTCCCCTTTGAGGCGAAACAGCGGCCCGGATGAGCCCCGGATCACGACCAGAGGCTGATACTCGACAGCCCGCAGCGTGTCGTTCTTCGTCAGACTGCCGGCGACACCGAAGATCTCCCGCCGGTCGATATCTAGCTGCAGAGCAGCGTGCTTTCTCTCAGTCGCCACGTCGAGACTTCCCGCGAGTTCCACCGACTTCACGGGAGTGATGATGCCGACGCGGAACGCCTTGTTCCGGAAGTTGATCATGTAGTCGAGGTTTATGTGCCGATTGGTGGTGGTCCCCGGCGTGTCCAGCATCAGGCTGGATTTCCTCACCCCTGCCTCGTTCGAGTGTCGGTACTCGAAAATGAACGCCTTGACAGTGTCGGTCTTTTCCACGGTGATGCGAGCGGTCAGAGGGCCCGTCAGCAGAAAGCTCGCACCGCTGGCAGCGGGCAGTGGGTAGCAGATTTCTGAGCATATGTTGACTCCAAGCGCGGCTGCGGTGTAAGCCTCTGAGCAGGCGCCATATTCGACCTTGTTGCTGGTCGTCTCCAGTGGTATCTCCTGGTTCTGGTAAACGCTATGGAAGCTTGTTCTGACATCTAGCATCTCCACCTTATCCTTAGGCATGTTCATCTTGATTGACACAATTTTAGCCGAATCAATGACCACCTGTCCGTCCAGAGCGGTCGATGTGTGAAGATTTGTGTTCATCTTGAGTCCAGTGCGAGCAACGTGGGCGTCTACGCTCATTTCAGCGGCAATTTCCACGGCAGCAGAAGGTTTAATAAACCCTTCGATATTCATCTTATTCCATGACTCAATGTTGAAGCGTCCACTCGTCTTCAGTGTAACAGTGGCGGCCCCCACGGCTCGCAGTTTGAAGGGAAGACCGGTCATAGTGGGAATCGTATAGCTCGTATCCAGGAACTGGTAGTTATCGGTCCAGTCTCTGTCCTTTGCCAGCTTTTGCAGAAAGCTTACTGGACCGTCGTCGCCCAAAGCACGAACCAGAGCACTGAGGTCGTCGAATGTGCCAAAGCTCAGTTCGTTGCCAAAGATCTTCACGTACGATGATGCATGAAACGACCCAGACGCGTCATTGGCGGCGTTATAGGCATCCGAGAGCCTAGTGATGTCATTGCTGCTCGGTCGACCCCTCATCGCCCGCAGGATCTGGCTAATGGATTCCTGTGGGTACGGACCTTTGTTCCCAAACAGGTTTTCAACATAGTGCTCCAGGCCTTCCACGCGGCCACCGACCTCCAATAGATTGATGGCCTCGCCAAAGAGATCGACGGTGAGGTTTAGCATGCCGGACCTTGGTATGTACGATTCTGGTGAAAACACCACGGCGCCCTCCACTGACCCTCCGGCATTCACGGATTCAAAGAATGCTGATTTTTCATAATATCGTGAGAACTTCCTTGCATCGGTGGCAAACTTTTTTGATAGCTCCACATTGTAGAGAAGCGACTTCAAGTACTGCTTGCTGGGGTCATTGGTTTCTTGCATGTTGGTTATGTGTGTCCACACAAAGCTTCCTACCTGGTTGACAGTTTCCTTCGATAGAATTTCCATTAGCTTGTCGACAACCTCGTGGGTAGCACATTGCGTGACAGCCAAGTAGGCGGCGATGCGAACCTCGCTGTTCTCCAAATGGTTGGCGAAGGTGTGCACTAGCCCGCTGTTGCTTACCACGGCACACGGCATCCTCCGGTACGCCCTGATGGCTTCGAGGCGAGTTTCGACGTCGTCCTTACTCGCGAAGCAAGCGCGAAGGACACCCTCGCCGCGAATCAGAAGTCCAACGTTGCCCAGGGCCTTCAGCGCTGCCAGGACCCTGGTCCTGCCTCCCCTGGATTCGGACGCGCAGTCGCCACCAAGCAGCTGCTCGATGCTGCTTACGGCCTGCCTCACAGCTGGCCGCTGGGCACAGTCAACATCGGCGCGGCAGAAGCGGTGCAGCATGGCCGAGACGCCCAGCAGCGTCTGCGTCCTGACACCAGCGTCAGCCAGCAGCGGCGCCACCGCCTCCACCATGTCCAGCCGCGGCTCGTGCACAAAGGCAAGAGACGTCATCCAGCGGTCGGTCTCCTCGGAAGCGACTTGCCCGAGCATCACCATGTCCCTCATGACGACCAGGGCGGCGGCAGTGCCCAGCATGGGCAGGGCGTCCATCAGGTACTTGCGCGTCGTCTGCTGCGTCTGTTCGCGCAGGAGGCGGGCGAGGCTGGCCGCGTCCGCTTGGCGCAGTGTCTGCACCAGCTGCGTGAAGAGGCGAGGGACCTCGCGCCGCACGTCCTCAGCGGTCTGCCGCTGCATTTCGGCCAGCAAGAGGCGCGTCGCGTCCGCACGGTCCACCGCCTTCAGCTCTGGCGCCGAGTGGTCAAACATGGCGCTACTGCGCACTCGCAGCGGTTCTGAAACGGAGCGGCAGCGGCGTCATAACCAGCCGACAGCGCCAGAACATGCAGGCAGTCGACATGCCCGGTGGTATGAAATGAAGTCAGCTACGGAATAAAAAGCCATCGGCAGACGGCAGAACGCACAGTACTGAAGCATTCTGAGTGATACCGCGCCGCCTGTGCCGTCTGCGGAGCGGTGAGCGTCCCTTACCGTGCTGGCGGGTGTGAACTGTGGGCCGGACGTTCATCTCAGTCAGTGTCAGGGTGGTGCGCGTGACCGCTCCGTTTCCGCCGCCGGAGAACGGCCGGAACAGGTGATCTTCCTGGCAAACCACTGTGAGTAGCCGGCCAGCCGACACTGCCTGCCGACAACGCTGGGTGCTCCTGCCGAGATGCGGCCGGCGGTCGTCAGAGGCCAGCAACCGTCAGCGGCCGGCGGCCGTCGGCGGTCAGCGGCCGCCAGGGGCCAGCGACCGTCAGGGACCAGCGGCCGTCAGGGACCAGCGGCCGTCAGGGTCCAGTGACCTTTAGCGTTCAGCGGCTCTCAGCAGCATAAATTTGCAGTAACAAAAACATGTCCGGCCGGTTCAGATCTATCTTCACCAGACATCCAATCGTGGCTGAAATTTGTGATTTGGGACGTCCGCCATGTTTCCAATTTGTACAAGCATCTTCGATGGCACCTTCAACCCGGGTGACTGACCCCTAATATTCCAAATGTGGTGACCAAAGCTGCGCCTCAGTCTCTAAACTTGTCACCTGTTGAACGGACAATTCAATACATAGGACGCGTCAAATGTATCATATTACGAACCAACGTCGCTAAGCTGTCAACAGCAGGATGTTGGAGAAAAATGATATGTTTGACACATGGCGGGTTTCTTTTCCGTGAAAGCCCACCTAACGTCAATCTAGTGTCCATACGCTTTGTGCTGCTGTCATCCAATGCTGGCCAAAAATAAAACGTGTATTTGGGAGATATCCCCAGAGGTTTATTGAAGGCCATACGGGCGTAAAGCTTACGTTCTTGGGCATGCATGGGCATTGCTGATGCCATCTTTTGCCGGGTAGTGACACCTAGGTTACCTTCATAACTGCTAACTGAACAGCTCGGCAATCGGCAGGAATGAAATGTGCCTTGATAATAAACAGTCACCAGAAGCAGAGTGATTATTAGGTAAGATTTCACACCATTGTTCCTTCCAACGGTCTGTTTACTCGAAACTTAGCATCTTTCGTTTGCTTTTTCTTTCTGAGAACCTGTACATTAAACAAACATTGCAACCGTTTTCACTACGAACTAAGGCGCAAAGCTTTCCAATTAAAAACAAGTTTTCAGTTTATTTTCTGATGATTCAGCTTTTATGAGCGATTTGTAGCCAGAAAAAATTGCAGAGATCACGGGAACAGCCAGAGTCTTGGTAAGCGTGGGAGCACAAGGATATCAAAGGTTCCGTGGTGGTGAAAGGGTCCCTTAAGGTCCCGTGGTGGTGGAAGAGTTCCGGAAAACTAGCCGGGTGTAGCCCACTTAAATTCGTGGGACACGGCTTCCTCGTTACATTATTGCTTTTACATTTTGTAACGTAAACTGGAGCCATAAAACAGGCGAGGATGCAATTTTCATGCATTTGGAAGTTAATAAACTGAAGGAATCAAGCGTTAATCCGTACCCGGCCGGGGACATAAGACAACCGCGCCCGGCCGGGGGGAGAGGAGTTGACGTCTCCCCTGCGATCTCCAACTTCTAGACGCCGCGCGAAAAAACAAAAATACCGTTCTAAAGGTATGGTCAAATAGTGAGGAATACAAACCAATTATTTGACCTTAAGTCAAATATCAGGTCACCAGGGGTCACGAGAGGTCAAAAATGGCCGCTCCGATAGATGCGCTTATACCTTATGGCAGCACGCCAAGACGGACATTGAGGGCGCGTAAACAAGCGATAAGACTGTGGGGAGTCCAGCTTCGGCCATTTTTTCCCTTACATGGCGCAGCTCGGATTAGAGCACCGTTCAAAATTGCTCTACCAGTCGCCTACAAGAGTAATACTTTTCTTCACAGCGTACTTTCTGACCGAATTCGTTTTATTAGATCCAGCTGTGCGGAAAACGCATTCCAGACACAAAACGACCACTGTAGGCTGACCTAGAGTTTAACTGGGGCCAAATTAGGTCAAATTGATGAGATATCCAATTGAAAAAATTGAAGTGCTAACCGGGTCTCTGTGACCAGTACAACACTTTTCTGTTGTCAGAAATAGTGTATTGCGCATCTGCATATACTCAAGATTGTATAGCTGTTGGCTACACTATATATAGCCCCTTCGGCGCTTGACAATGTATTCGTGACACATTGTGAACAGGTACGTTGGTACATGAAATAAGACGTCATCAGCTTCACAAACACGATAATGAGGTGGTTACGCGCGTCGTACTCGTTCATCTTGCCGCCCCGCTACTGGTAATGTAGGTCATTGACCCTGGATGGCGTCATATCAATGTCCTTACATGGCCTATCGTACCCGCCATGCGTGTTTGAAAAGGTGCCTTTGAACGCTCATGACACCAATTAGACCGCCTGAAAGGTAATTCGAAGGTAGCGTATATCTTACCGGCGCAACATTTAGACTGATGACTGGAATGTAATAACATTTACAACACCGTGAACTGGTAGCAAAGTCTTGAGACGGAATTATAAAAGTAAGAGGAAATGTATATATATATATATATATATATATATATATATATGTATATCGTATTGATGTAACAGTTCTGCACAAATGCCATCCTATTTAAGCCCCAATCCTATTTTTGAACGGTACGACATGATTTTAAAGGATTTTCGAAAGCCTATCCCTCAACGTTTTGTGCTTGCGCGTCTGACGTCCACCTTGCGCCGGTATTAGCCGCAGCCGGCAATGCCGCTCGGATTGACGGAAGATGCAGCCCCAACCATCAGTATTTTTGCTGCTAGGATCGCAGGCTCAAAATACTTGACGAAATTTGCGCTACTAGTTCGTTCTGTTAACAGGATGGATATCCTCGTGCAATCATGGGGTGGCAATTTGAATTTTTGGCTTTACCTTGGCTTTTTGGCCCGACTCCCTATACTGACCGCTAAGGAGGCCCCTTACCTTTTCCGGGCAAGAGGTCCCGTGGGTGGAGCACTAGGGGCGGGGGCATATTATCTTTACCGTTCAGAGCTAGAGGGTCGTTCCGTCCCAGCGCGGGGTGCCTACCGGCCGTCATCCTGACAACGCACGGAGGTGCCACCACATCATCCGAATGCCCCTAGAGGGATACATAATGCGTTGGTCCCCTCCCTGACGCGGGCGACCCTCTGACCCGGGAAGTCGGCGCCGGATTAACGCAGGGGCCTTCACTGACGTAGAAATTTAGAAAACGTTCCCCCGTCTCCTTCGCATCTTACCGTAACGACCAGTCTCCCAGGAATATCATGCTGAGGTGGAGGTTCGAGAGAAAATGTCTCCATGTCGTCGAAGTGACAGTCCAATTTACAGTTATCTGGCAACGCTTCATCTCCGAGGATAGCACTAGTGTTGTTGAAACAAGTTATCATCAACTATCCTTTCATGGCATGACTTTTTTCTGACGGCTCCTGAGATCACTTGCATAAAATGCAACGTTGATATACTATGGAACAAAAGTGGATGTGGACATGAGATGTACCGGCCGTCAAGAAAAAGGCGGTACCTTCCATACGCGAGTCAAGTCGTAAGTTTTTCAAGCAAAAATAAAAAAAAACAAGCCAAGTAAGAGTTTTTCTAGCAGCATCTGAGATTGCTAACATAAAAGCACACGGTGATATCCCGAGGAGTGAAAGTGGATGTGAACATAGAACACCAGACTCAAAGTTTCTTTGGTGAGGCAGAAGCCAGAGTGCTAAGACTGAGATCTACTAATAGGCGTCATGCAGAGTCTGTGAAGTTAACGGATGTTGTCAGAATGCGATCATCTCCCCCAACGTTCCTTACCTTAGCAACGGCATGGACTGAATGTTGGAGGCCGAATGGTAGGGTGTCGTTTGAAGTGAGGACACGAGGTGGCCGCGTTCCCGACAGGTCAGCAGTTCCTTGGTCTTGATTACCGCGGTGATGTCGCCCAAGTTGCGGACAGTGTAGTTGGTGGAGCAGTAGCCGGACACGTCCGTCTGAGCAGACAGAGTTTCTCACAACTGGAAACTTCACACGCACATGGTGTTTTCCGTACGCTAGCCTTAAAATATGATTCTTCACAGCCGGTGTATGGACATAAATAAAACACGCTTCATTACATTCCCAATTACAACTGTAAGCCTAACTCTCACCTCGCGTCACGCATGTACTTAATACAGTTTCGGCTGGGAAAATCCAACCAGTCTGTGTGTATGTGTGTATGTCTTCATTTCGTTAGATGTACCTACGCACAGCGCAGAAAGGTGCACGGATTGTCGTAAAATGTGCACAAACAATGCGCTCAAGTTTTGTGGCAATCCGTAACATAAATTCAAGCACGCCTGATAGCGGTGGCAGGCACGGCGTATGTAGGAATGGAGAGCGCTTCAGTGCTTAGCAGACATTTTTCGCATATGTGGGAGAAACCTGTTGTGCGAGGGTCAAGATTTGAGCCAAGTCATTGGAAAAAATGCCGCAAAGCTGAGCGACGTTGCATATAAAGCGTCCGCGCACGGAGAAGACTGTTAATCCTCGCCTTACGGTTTCTTACCTTTGCCCAACAACGGGGCGTGAGACCCCTTAAGATTTAAAAAAGTAAGCAAGCTGGAGTCTCACGGAAAACAGCATTGGAAAGCTCTCGTCAAACCACATCAAATAGGTATGCTTGCGCAATGGTGAATGTGGCCTTGCAAGGGTAAAACCAATTTAAAATGTTCAAGTCTACAATTAATAGGACTACATTTAACACAACACAACATCTGGAGGACTAAACATGCTAATACAATGCGGACGTTGACTTTAAATACCCCATGGAAATATTAATGAGACAGTCACTGGTGAACATCGACGCATGCGATCCGTCATATATTGTCAGGTTGAAGGAGTAAAGGCGATTATTACCTTGGCAAGTGCGGCTTTACCCCCTTCCTTGCAGCCTAACCCCGCCGCCTTTGAGCAAAATGTCAACGACATGATCTTGGAAAGATATGAGTTCATGACCTACATCATGAGCTATCCAGCTCAGAACTCCGAGTTCGAACAAAGTGTCTAAAAATGCGATAATCTCAGGCGCCCAAAATTTCAAAACCGTGCTTAAAGTCGCTCAAAAGCTATTCGAGAAAGACCTCCAGACTCACGTAGGGTTAGAAACTGAAAGCACACTACAAGCTTAGCAAATCTTGTCAGACACCATGATCACAAGTGAGATGCAATCAATGTTATCTGACTGAAGGTGGTGCTATACTAACGCCAACGGCGTTACATCTTCGCGCAACAAAGCAAGCGGGCAAAAATCGCAAGTCTATGCAGCTAAATTTGTTCAACTATCCTGCTTCTTCCCTCCCCCCCCCCCCCCCCCCACCGACACCCAGCACGGATGGTCAGATGGATGCCGCCATGTGTATATATACAACGGCTTACACTTTCGTGAGGATACAAAAAATAGATCTGAGCCTTTTTGATACGGGCGTTGGTCTGAGTGCGCGCAGAGTTGGGACATGTTTGCCATTCAGCAGGGAGACATCTTTGTATACGTTAGGGAAATAGATGTGTAAAGCCCAAGCCTTTGGAAATGCATTGCTTCTCGAGCGGCGCCAAATCGAATATCCATATTCACGTAATGCTTCCAAGTTACGTATGGAGTGACGGGAGTGTATGGTAGCATATCATGGAGGCGGTAATGGCGGTACATTTGATCATTTATACAGGAATCGAATCACGGGTGGCGGCACTACTGACACCACGGGCGTCACCTCTTCGCGCAGCGCAGCAAAACGGAAGCAGTTTGTTCGTAATTTTGTTTGTGCAAGCTCGAAACGGTGGTTCATTTTAACGTTTACAGTTATTTTGACAGCTTTCACAATGCATAACACGACACGCAAAGAGATGTGTGTGTGTGTGTGTGTGTGTGTGTGTGTGTGTGTGTGTGTGTTGTGTGTGTGGTGTGTGTGTGTGTGTGTGTTGTGGTGTGTGTGTGGTGTGGTGTGTGTGTGTGTGTGTGTGTGTGTGTGTGTGTGTGTGTGTGTGTGTGTGTGTGTGTGTGTGTGTGTGTGTGTGTGTGTGTGTGTGTGTGTGTGTGTGTGTGTGTGTGTGTGCGCTCCTCTAGGAGCGCGTCAGTCTGCCGCTGGCGCCGTGACGTCATACCTCGTACTTCTGGGTCTCGCCCAAGTCAAGCGTTTCAAGGTTGTTGGACGGTGGCCGAGAGAAGGCCGCGCTTGAAGTTCAGCGCCCATACAGACTCAAATTGACTGGAGCAGAGCTCCTCCACTCGGCCGTCCTGGTAACTGTAACATCGAAAACATGCGTTCTGTCAACAGTGCATCGCAGTGCTGCTGACGCCTGTGGGTTTAACTCTCATCGAATGGAGAGGGGGCGGGTAAGAAGAGAGACAGAGGAACAAAGGGGTGAAGAAGGGGGAAGAGAGAGAGAGAGAGAGAGGAGAGAGAGAGAGAGAGAGAGAGAGAGAGAGAGAGAGAGAGAGAGAGAGAGAGAGAGAGAAAGAGAGAGAGAGAGAGAGAGAGAGAGAGAAGAGAGGAGAGAGAGAGAGAGAGAGAGGAGAGAGAGGAGAGAGAGAGAGAGAGGGTCCACTTTTGTGGATGAAGCTAGTAATAAGCAATAGTTTGACTTTTAAAGAATGATACAATACAGCCTGTCTTCTTCATTACTTTCTGCGTTTATTTCCTGTTTGAAAACAATCATGACACTTGCACTTGGGGCCAAGAGAAGTGCTTTGGAGAAAATAATGGATCGTTTCACATGTTTGGCCATCTTTGAGGCATAATCGAGAATGCGCATGGTGTCCTCTTTGTATCGTTAAGGGCGGGCATGCGCGCGAATGCAGTAGCAAATGGAGCTGTTTTCCGGCAATCCTTAAGCCGTAATGGGGTGGCGAAACATAGAAAATAGCAACCATTAAGACCCGTTACGACAGACAGACAGATAGAAAACGACAGGTGAGAAAGGGATGAATTATCTCATCCACCCAAGCGTTCTTAGATCATACCATGTGGTACATGATGCATTAATATCATCAAATGTTGAACAAGTTTTTCAAACGCAATCTGGGATGCTAAAACCGGCCGCACCTAAACCTTAGGCCGTTCGGATACGACCATTCTGATATCTCCGGAGCCATGGGTGGATCGAAACAATCAACCGCCGTTTGAAAGCCCAAACCTGTTCTCTCTCAAAACTGCGGTAATAGGCCTTTTCTGCGTCTATTTTGTGGTGAAATAGAGAGGTTTGGTTGAGGTCAGGCCAACTATCCAAAAATTAAATTGTCAATAGCTCAAAAAGGTCTTATGACACATGCTTCCAGAATAGTTCTGCCCTGACATGCCACAGAAATGTTCATTCATATGCGTCTCGTCATTCCGAGTCGAAATCAGGTAACGGTCTGTCGGCCTTCCGAAACCCGGTCAAGGCAGTGCGGCTTGGAAGAGAGTAAGTTTGGAACAAATGAAGACATTTTCTTGAAACTGGCCATATGTGTACACAATGATCGAATCCATCTTGCCTACCGTGCATGTTTTCTGTTAATTTGCATTAAGATGTTGATCATCAGCTAATAGCACCAATCATATCCTGTATTTTATGTTTGCATGATAATCTAGTCATCTAACGTTGGCTATGAGGGCTCGACATCGCTATTTAGCTGTGTATTTACCTGAATGCACCTTTGCCAAACATAAGACACCCTAACTTTTCCGGAACAGCGTCTGAAGGTTTTAGCATTGTGCTAAAATTTTCATGATCTTAGTTCACATTATTTCTACACACGTTCCTATTCGGGGTTCTGAATTTAATGGTTAACGGTTATGGTGCATCTGCATTTGTATGCTCACAATTGTCGTCCATTTCACATGGAAAGTGTCCGGAAAGAGTTTGCATGTGATCATTCTATGTTTATGCCATTCTGAAGTGATCTGCATTATTATCGTTCTGGTGGCCTTTAAACGTCAGATAATCCAACATAAGGTTAGGCCGGATTTACAGCGCGTCACCAAATTTAACCGTTCAAAAGTAAAACGATTTTGCACGTTGATGGTACGTAATTTACATATTTGGAATCCCTTTCTAGCTCTGTTATCCCCGTCGATGTGGCTTGTTTAGTTTTTATATATCCAGAGGAGTTAACACAACTTCATTCACCCCCTTCACTTGACAAGATACGTCGCAGGTTATATGTGTCCATGTTAATTAGTGTGTCCATGTTAATTCCATCTTTCGTGAGTTATGCACAAAACAGAAGTGAATTGCACCAAACATTCACCCGCGCCATTGCGGACTGTCACTATCGGCTTTAGAGCGCTGCATGCCGGCGCCTCTGTATGCAAATGCGCTCTTCCAGCCTGAGCGAGACCCAGACACCCGGCCGAGACGACAGATCATATCAACAACAGCCCGGCGGCAGTGGGGTTCCCGACCGCTGCCTCTGACAAAAGCCAGATCAGATCCTGCTGGCGCGGTCTAAATATGAGATGCACGGCGTCCCGCAGCGCCCCGCCGAAGCGTCGCTCACGGCGGCGCGGCGCTACTGCCGCTCGCGCATGCGCACGCGCCACGAACCACGCTTGTTCGCGCCGACGCTGCCAACACGCAGTTGATTGCAAACGAATTTGGATTGCGCATTCATTCGCTCCTGCTGGTAATGAGCATGAGGAATATGAGAGTTACATCGTATATGCATTCGCTGAGCATGACGATATCACTTCATCTCATAGCGTCAGCCGTGTGTTTGAAGTCAATGTGTGTTTTGTGTTTTGGTCAAAGTCAAAACAACCAGGGTATCCTTTCGGCTCGCTCCTGAACATACGGTAAGCAAAAAGGGTTACAGCGAATAAAGAGAGCACACAGCGGTAGATCACATGTCATGTTTGCTCTCGTTTTACGGTCTGCGCACGTCCGGCGCTGGTTATGGATCGGGATTGACCGGGTAGCGCAACATACAGTTTCAACGCGTTTCGTCATTTTGCATTTTGCAAGCGCAAATACTCGAACTAGCTAATCCGTTTCCAAAAGATGTCCAGGATCACTCGGCTTATCCTGCAACGATACGTTTCAACTACAATGTGGTGTTTGAAGCGTGATTCTGAGTCATACACACGTGTAATTTTTATCATTTCCTAGCCATGATTACGGCCGTCGCACAGGGTCTGTGGTAAAAACGTAGTTCATAGATTAGATAGATATATCCTTTTGTTTTCCTGTGGATTCAAGACATACAAATTTGTACTTAAAAGTTGTTATTTATATTTTTAAGTGTGCTCATTCAGGCACTTACTTACCTGAAGGACAGCGGATATTTCTCCAGCTCGTCTTTGAAGGAGGCCATATCGTCCACATGCCTTCGACGATCTACGTTCTTCGGATCCGAGTCCTCAAGGGTGACATCCCTCAACTGAAACCAGGAACGCAGTGCCAGTGACGTTACATTGGCCGGGGGGAGCTCGTTCATCGGTCATCGAAGACTTCGCAACGGGTAATTTGGTATTCGTGATGCCAAGGACATGGTATCATTGCTGGTCGTTATAGGGTGCTGATTGCCGGGACAGGGCACAGGGTATTGATTCCGACTATTGCAGGTGGCTGGCTGTTCTGACTGGGCACAGGTTATCCTTACCGACTGTTATTGGGTATCGGTTGCAGGCACAGGGCACAGGGTACCGTTATCGACTGTTACAGGGTACCGGTTGCCGGGACAGGGGACAGGGTGCCGTTACATACCGCCGCAGGGCACAGCCCCATGCTTGACCTCGGTTAGCGGCGGTCTGCCGTCGTGACCGACCAAACAGCTGTGATCTCACACTGCGTGCTGAGCCCCATGCCTGTCCCCTCACCAGCATGCCACCGCAGCCGGCTGCTGACCTTACACCACATGTGGCGCCGCCGTGGCCGGCCGCTGACCTTACACCGCGTGCTGCGCAGCCGTGAGCGGGCACTGACCTGGAGCGTGAAGTCGCAGGCCGAGTTGGCCGCGATCTCGGCCGTGGCCTTCACGTGCAGCCTCGACGCCTCGTCCGTGGCGCCGGCTAGCGTCGTCACAACATCGGAGGTGTATGCATACACGTACGTCTGGCCGGCCGTGTAGGCGAACTTGCTGTTGTCGGCGCTCAGGCAGTAGGAGGCGCAGCGGTGGCCGGCCCGCGGGTCCGTCGGCCCTGCCAAACAGCGGTGATGAGCGCAGTCACAGTCACCGACTGTGACTGACAAGTGGTGCTAGTCGATGCAACAGCTCCTTGCAGCGTTGCAGACTGTGGGCTACTTATGCCCAGTCTGTTTTTTTGTACGTGAGGCAGCTAGAAATGGTACATCCAGAGTTGCAACTAGGGGCAATAATCTGACCGACATAAAATGACCGACAAGGCATATCAAATGCCGGGGATTCCTAAAATCCGTGGAAAATGTTGACATTTATGTGGATTTTGTATTGGTCTCATACGGTTTTTGTCCTTTGCTACACACACACGAGATTTTCCCTCGCCTGCCGAGAAGCCGGCGGAGACACTGGAAACGGGACGATCGAATTTCGCCATCAAAGAAACCCATGTGGTAAAAGATATCCCAGGCTGTCAAGAAGCCCCTAAAAATAAATACTACCCAACAGTAGCCGTCAGGAACGAGGTGGCAGACAGAGCGGCTCTTATTCGAACAGCGAAACATTTCCACTTGCGCTGCTGGGGAACACATGCCAGCTACACTTCCTGCCGGGCGTTTCAGAACGATCAGAACGTGGCAGCGCATCCTGGGGCAGGCGGTACGGGTTAACCGTCCGTTCCCCACCTTTTGAGGTGTGGGCAAAACTATCTTATTTGTTTCTTCTCATACTTTAAGTTCGCCCGGAGAAGGCCCTCGAATGTGTGGGAGTACTTGGCTTGTGCCGTTACCAAACTAAGCGTAGAGGGCCCATCTATGGTTCAGCACGGGCGCTCAGAAAGTAGTCGTCTAAGTAGTCTAGTAGTAGTAGTAGTCTAAGTAGTCTAGTAGTCTCTAGTAGTCTAGTAGTCGTCTTGGGCTCAAAAAGTAGTCGTCTAAGTCCAGAAATGGCCTACCTTAACGTGAAAATGGTTCATTTGAAGAGTGACGAAACGCCTTGACAGTTTCAAAGAAAATATTGCACATTTGAAGATATTGAAGCGAGCACCAGATATGACGAAATAAGCTCGCTTGTAACTATTGGTGTACTTTCAAGTGGAACCGGCTGCCTCAGACAACACAAATTGTCTGTTTGATTGATATGTTCTTCAATGCGCCATTGGCTGATTATGTCATCGCACGTTGCACGACATTTGTCATCGTCATTATGTGTTTTCGATATCTTCATTTGTCATTTGGCATCGTCATTTGTCATTTAGCATTGTCATTTGTCGTCGTCGGTTGTCATCGTCATTTGTCATTGGTCATCGTCATCATGTGTCGTCAGCATCGTCATCCGTCATCTGTCATCGTCATTTGTCATGGTAATCGTACCTTGCACAGCTATTTTTCTTTGCCCTCATAGCCATGTGGCCATGAAGGCCAAAGAATGGCAGGATTTGAGTGCCGCTATTATAGCGTCATGGATGCCTGGATAGCCCTGAAGAAGTCTCCATGAAAAAAGTCTGCGCATCTTCGCCGGCGTGTATCTCAGAAACTAGGTGAGTTTTGGTCTTAAGAAATGTAGGGCTGTGAACTGCACAGAACGATCTTCAAGATGGCTATTTCAAGTCAAACTCCATATCAGTGTGGAACACTCCTCTTAAGTTGTGAAATACCCGTTTCTGGCCTGAAAGGGCACATAGCGGAGCCGGAAAGGCCCATCTTAGATTAGGAAACGCCCATCGTGAGAACAGAAAAGCCCAGCACCGAGGCTAACAGGGCCCATCTTAGGCTCAGTGAGAGCTCGTTTGATATCATTGCGGAGCTCGTTCCAAAATGGGGAAGTGAGCATATTAACTTCGGCAAGGGTTAATTTTGCATCTCAGGCCCGGAAAGTCTTATCTCAGTACCGAAACGTCCTGCCCTGATTTGAAAAAAGATTCTCTCTAAGACCACGATGAAACCTTTCGAAACAAAACAAACCAGCAGGCTCGGAAATGCCTCTTTGCGAGCCTGAGATGCCCCCATTCGCGCTTTTTAGAATCTTCGAAGGCCCGCCAT